CTTCGGCTTCGGGATCTTTGTTGGGTTGTTGGGCTTCTTTGAGGTCTGGATACTATATTTAAAAAACTATATAGTTAGTAGTTGAGATTGAGTTCTATTCAAAAGACTTAAGCCTTATGGTGGGTGGTCCGTTCTCAACTTTATATATTATTTATTATTGGTTTAACTATTCAATGTGAGATTTGTGTTCTAACACTCCCCCTCACTTGCAATCCATCTTTTGGGGTCCGTCAAGTGGCTTTGACTCTAGAATCAACGACCTCTTTAAGGCTCGATACCATATATAGTTAGATAGTTGAGATTGGGTTCCATGCAAAAGACTTAAGTCTTATGGTGGGTGACCCCTTCTCAATTTTATATATTATTCATTATTGGTTTAACTATTCAATGTAAGATATGTGTTATAACAATATCAATATTTGTGAGGTAATTAAAAAATAGCAAAAAAGTGGCCTTTTAGCTTGGTCCAAGATAAGATTCAAAATTCATAAAAAAAAAACATAAAAAAAAATTGATTTTTAATAAAAAAATTGAACCAAAAATTTTGGTTTTTAACCGAAAAAGGCTTTTTTTTTTATCAATTCAATTAAAAAAAAATCAAAACCGAACCAAAAAATCGAATAATCACCCCTATTTAAAACTCTTATTCAAGTGATGGTACTCTTCATCCATTTGACAAAAACCAATAAGCAAGTGAAAAGTACACCACCAGGATTCCAACTTCAAAACCAACCCATGTGCCATAAACCAAGTGGTCCCTTTTCAATGGAACTTTCAAATGCTAGTTAACCAAAGAATAAAAATGAACATGCCAGTGCCAATCAAGCCAACTTCCACGGGAAAATAACTTGTTTTGTTGGCCCCTAAACTGATTTTTAGTTAAATTTTTCATCCATATATAAGATTCGAATCTTAAAATTATATTTAGGGATAATTATCAGAAAAACCTTATAAAAAAATCTTATATCTAAAAAACCCATAAATTTATTTTTAAATCTTCTAAACCCAAAATAATATTTTTCTTAATAAAAACACCTAATAATTAACACTAGTGTTAACTATTGGTTGTTTTGTTACGAAAAATATTGTTTTAGGCTTGTGAGATTTAAAAATATTATTTTGTGTTTGGGAGATTTAAAAATAAAATAGTGAATTTTTTATATAGAAGATTTTTTAGAAGGTATTTTGGTAATTATCCATAGTTTAAATGAAATCATTATCTTTCAAAATATGTATTTGTATTATGGATGATCATGTTTTATTTAATTAATGCACCAAAATATATTATATATTCATCTTATAATTTATTTGAATTGTTTGATAAAAAATGTTGTGTTTTAATTAATTAAAAACTAGTATTACCGATAATACTTTTTTTTCCTATCAATATATTAGTATTTAAGAAATCACTAATGTTCATGATTATACATATTCTTATTTTTCTTATTTGTATGATAACCTTTGGATTAAATTACAAGAGAATAACAAGAGTCTCATTTTATCAATATTAATTAGTTAAATTGCATTGATTGCTATAGTTACTAGATAGTAAAATTAATCTTGAAACAAACAGTCGATAGAAAAAAAAACTCTAATATAAGAAATTTTTTAGTATAATAAAAAAAAAATAATCGCTTGTTAGTGTTTAAAAATTTTCTATATAAAAAATCCATCAATTTATTTTTTAAACCTCTCAAACCTAAAAATAAAAAAATTATCTTACCAAAAGACCCAATAGTTAACTAGTGTTAAGTTGGAGGTTAACTATTGAATGTTTTGGTAAGAAAAATATTATTTGGGATTTGAGAGATTTAAAAATAATTGATGGATTACTTAGATATAAGATTTTTTTAGAGGGTTTTTTTTTTATAATTATCCCTTATATTTATTAGAAATGATTAAATTTTATTAATTTCTTTTCAAACATGATTATTCATGTCTCCAATGTAAAACATGAATATCTAGTTTAAAAAAATAATAATAATAACTTGTTCATTATTGAAAAGGAAGGCTAATTCTTCTTCTTCTTCTTCTTCTTCTTCTTCTATAAAATTATCCTTTTCCCAAAAATTTGGAAGGGCAATAGGTCCCCATCCCTCGCCATGGCCATGATACCATGTAAAAGGTGGTATCTGAAACATAGAGGTAAACTACATTTGTACTGCCAATGACGGAATTTAACTGTATTTTGTGCATGGATATTGAAAACACTTCACATGATGTGATTTCTCAAATACATAAATAAATAAAGAGAGATGAAATGAAGTATTCAACGCTCATGTTGTTAATAAATGCCTGATGAGGTATAACTTTTTTTATTTTAATATTAATTTGATCATATCTCGAGTCAATTTTTTTCATTGCTTTACATGCCTCTTGTTAAGAAAATAATCAAGGTAAAATTTTTATTATTATTTTCTAATCAATAAAAGAAGAAATCAAGGATTTTGCAACTTAAAATTATTAGGAAATCATTTCAATCATCTAAGGAGATGATCATGCGTTTAATATAATTTATTTTATTACTCCTTTCTAAAGAATTTGTCTAGTTAATATATATATATATATATATTCCAAAATGTTTGTCTAGTTAAAACTTTAAATAATATAATTTATTAAAATACTTCTAATCGATAAAAAAAAGATTTTTTTCTTTTATTTTCATGTTCTTCATTAACAAAAAATTAATATTTTTTATATTTTTTTCTTATACATACCCAAAGCTTTAACATTTTTTTTAAATGGTTACACAAAAAATATTCATTCTTCTAAAAAATTTAAGCAGGCTTAAAAATCTTTAGATCTTTCTAAAAATTTTGGATCTCAAATTCGAAAAGAATGACAAGTTTTATTTGTTACCTTAGTTTCTGGCCTAACACCTTGTAGGAACTCTATATTGCATGTCAAAATTCTGAAAGCAAAATATTTTTATTAGTATATATATTTTTTTAATTTTGATTATTAATTAACTTAATTATTTTTTTTCAACTTACTATTTTAATTTTGGATATATTTTCTTCTTAAATTAATATTGATTCCATATATACAGGATTAAAGTGGATATATTTTCTTTCTCTTAATATATTGGAGTAACTACAAATTTTAAAAAAAAAGTAATTTAGGAAAATATAAATAAAACATCATGATATAGCATAACAAATTAATAACTTTTTAAAATTGTGTGAAAAAAAAGTGCGTTTTTTTATTTGTCTCGTTGTATGGTCATATATATAAACTCTACATGAATTGAATTAATTATAATTTATTCAATTACCAAAACTGTTTTCTTCTATTTCAAATTTCTACACACTCATCTCCATTTGTTGATTTGTCCTCGACGTGAACATACATCTGTTATCATAAGCATACATTGTTTATTGGAGGCTAATGAACAAAAAGCCAACAGTCATGCTCGTACACATTGATCGAGCTCTACAATTGCATTTTGTGGGTATAGTGACACACAACTAATTTGGGTTTTTCATTTCAAAGCCTTAATTACGTTGTCTGATCACCATAAGTTATTCTACATAGGAACATCAACTCATGCTTTGCTTTCCATTGACGTGGAGCCTTGCCGCCCATTACCTATTTTTTCGTGCCATTAAAGCATTCAATCCCCCTTGATTAGTGACCTTACAATCATTTTTTTAATAGCCAACTAACATGGGGACGTACACTTCATATGTGATAAGATCAATTCTTCTCTAAACTGATAACAATAATCTCATTTTCATTTATACATACATATAAAGCTTTTTCAAAAAAACTCATTGCACGAACCGGTTTCATGTAACAATTTTACTCGCTATTGCCATGACTGTAATGTGATTGGTCTAGTACACATGGATCAGTTCTGCGTGCACTGAAGTGGAATATGCATGGACAGATCCTCTTTGGAAGAGCCAGGAAGAGCTGAGATTGGATGAGTTTTAGGACATCATGATGGTCTCTTCCGCTGCCTTTTCATGCCTAGATAGAGTCAAGGAGTTTTCTTGTAAAGTTGTTTGGGTTTTAGAATTCTTGCTAGGTTGGTAGATTTTTTTTAAAGCTCTCATGTTATATAGAAATAGATAGTTGAAATTGAATTTTATTTAAAAGACTTAAATCTTATTATGAATAATCTTTTCTCTATTTTACATGTTATTCATTATTTATTTATTTTTTTAATATAAAATATGTTTTCTAATGAAATATGTTGTAAAGATAGCCTTGGAAATTAGTGCTTCATCTCCTGATGGAGTGGAATATAGAAACAGATTAAACCTATGGTTTCAAGTGGATGATGACCTGCAGTAACAGGGAGAAGCCATGGAGATTGAAAGGGGTCTTCAATGAAATTGCAATGCTTGAGAAACTGTTAGATGATTATGTGATTTGTATTGGTTCTTCATTCGTAATAGTACGTAGTACTTAGCATGCTGGCGCACAGCATATATACTCTATTATAAATAAAACATTTAGCCACGAGATGCAGCCTAGCAGTAAGAAAGTTATCTTGGTTTAATTAAGATCAAATTTCAATTCTTATTACTTTTGAATAACCAATCATAATTTTTCTTTAATGATATCATAGTTAGACTAATTTGATTTACAAAAAAGATAGTGATCGATTAAAGATTAAGTTATTAAGTTACGTTGGCTAATGAGTTTAGAAAGTGATAAGTTTGGTCTTAATTGATGCAAAAAATAATTCGAAGATATCTCACTATCTATAAATATCAAAAAATAAAAATAAATAAATACAATATTTAATTTCATTAAAAAAAAGAAAGAAAAGGTAATACAATACATCAGTAATCTTTTACACAGCTTATTGTAACAACATTACATGACCAGTACTACGGGCAACATATCAGTATTATACCTGAAGTTACGTACCCACAGAACATACAACAGATAGAGAGAGAGACTGAAAGAATAGTCTCAACACGAATTAATTTTAAGGCCCCATCAGTGCGATCATGCACATACTTATGCTAATACCTGGATTTATTATCTTACAGTAGGTAATCTTCACGCCGGGCGAAATTCATGCTTTCATCATTGATCCAATCAAACTTCTCAGAGAAAGGGTTGGCTAAGTTGTTTGGAGGGTAATGATCAATGCAGTCTTTCCAAACGTTTGTATCCTCCAAATCCTTCATAACCTTCCACACACAATTGTTGCACTTAAAACCCGCCCCAAGGCTGATCATTAGTATTGTATCACCCTTCTTGAGCCTTTTCTTTGCCTCCATGTAACCTAAAACATACCACAGGCCACCGGATGACGTATTTCCAAACCGATAAAGAGCCATTCTAGCTGGTTCGAGATCATAATCGTTCAGTGCTAAACTTTTACCAACCTCGTCAATAATTGCCCGCCCACCAGGGTGCACACAGAAGTGGTCGATTCCAGACTTGAGATCCAAACCAGGTCCTGCTGCCCTGGGAGTTGGCCTCTTCATTATTTTATTTCGATAATAGCTTATTTTGTAGCGGAACATTTCTGAAATTGGTAAAACTTTAGGAAGAAGAACTCGGAGATTCATGGTTAAAGCTTTAGCACCAGATTTTGGTAGGTCTTTGGTAAGGCGAAACCCTTTGTGGCCAAGATCATCTTCTACTTGGATGCAGCTGCCATATGCTTCATCGTTAGAGCCGATATGTGTGCGTACGACACAAGTCAATTCCAAGAGGGCTTTATGCTTTAAAGCTTTGTTATTTGTTAAAAGCATGGAGCAACCCCCGGTACGAAATAGAATGTTGGAGAGCATCATGGACTTCTCTTTGCCAGAATACCAATTTGGACCCATGGATTCTGTGCTCACAACGATTGCAAGCGAATTCTTATATGTCTTGAACAATTGCCTGACTAAATCAATGGCTACTACACTTGCACTGCAACCCATTCCAGAGAGATTGAATGCCTTGATGTCCTCCCTCATCTTGTAACGGTTTATTACTCGAGCTGTTAGAGAGGGAGCTGGTGAGAACAAAGAGACTGAAGAGACAATAATGTCAATTTCTGAGGGAGAAACTCCTGTCGTATCAAAGAGCTTGTCAAGAGTATCAAAAATGATACCATCCATCTCCGAAATTGCATCCATAAGAGTTGCAGATTCCTCTCTTCCTTCTATGACGTTTTTTGGACAGTAAGTTTCTTCACCGATGCCAGAACTAACCATGGTCCTCAGAAGAAACCTGTATTCTTCTATTCCCAGATTCTTGTTTCGCATAACAATTTGAGCACAGGATCCAGTATCAAGCTTTCGGTCCTCCTTGGCTTTATGGCACTCATAGCTTATCATATAGCAACGCTGGTCTTCCTTTTGGTATGCCAGCTTACAAAGCTTGAACATAATATAGTATAATAATAGCAGACACATTGCCAAGAACAACTCCATATATAACAAAAAAGAGAAGCTACAGATCGGGTTTCAAGAGATGCAGAGACTTTTATGAGGGAGTTTATGATCTGCACAAGAACTATGGTCCTTCTCTTATAATAGAGAACGGGTTACATGCAATGCCTATGCACATGAAAGCATTAGATAATGTTCCTCAAAAATTGATTGAAGTTGAAAAGATCGAGCAAGTCCTTGCTAGAAATTTCAAAATAGGTGGGACATCATACGTACATATATAGACATGAGTGTTTAATAAAAAACAGAAAAGAGAGTATCGTCTACTTATACTGTTTCGTAGTACGGTTCACATTGCTTGAGTTAAGAAATGAGAGGCACAAGTAGCTGAGAAGAGACATAACATTACATTTGGCATCTTCTTCGTTCATGTCCCACCCACACATAGAAAACGTATACGATTGGAAACTTCAGAAAAGATTAGAAACCTTAATTTTTCAGTCAAGTTTTTAAATGCAGCAGCCACAAAAATCATTTTATAGCTAGCTGTCTATCCAACCATCTAAAAACACCGATGGTTAGGATTTATAACTATGCACCAACAACCTGGTTTCGCAACTTTCACTCTCTACTAGACATTTGAAAGGTTTTATGAATTTTGTCTTACTTAACTACCTTCGCATATCAGTCACATTTATATATTTATATATGTGATTAAGATGTTTACAAACAGTAATTAATTATTAGTTTGACTGAATTCACTGTGTCGGCAATTGGACAAGGACTCAGATCAATCAAATAATTAAAGTTGCATGAGCTTTTCAAACGAAAAGGAGAAGAACGCACAACTACTCAAAAATGCGCGGATGCTCGCTTGCTCAAAATTTGAGTAGGTGTGCGTCTTTTCTGAATAAATATTGTTACTTATCTCTTTTATATACATACATGATTCATGTAGTTATTTACTTTTTTCAAGATATTTTCACACTCCCGATTCACTTCGAACTAGCACTATGTTAGTATTTTTTTCTGACGTTGCAGAAGTCATTAAGAATTAACCTTTTAGGTCATAAAGTACGATCTGTTGCTGTTAAATAGGTATATATTATGGAAAGTAATGGGAGGGTGTAGCTTAGAAGGACCTGGTTCATTAATTAGGACTACAAATATTAAATTTTTAACCTTTTTCTTGATAAAAAAAGTACAAACAGAATCATTTACATGATATTTTTTTTTAGCTCTTTTATTAATCTTATATTAAAATTAGACTTGAGAGCTCTCTCTATAAAGACCCATTCCACACCAAAACCTTTTAGTGCACCTAATACACTACCTGCCTAAGTATTCTCTGTCAAAAATTGCCTGCATTTTCTTGCTTAAACTCCTTTCTTATTATTTTTCTCTTAAAAGACATCATTTGCTTACAACATACCGTCACCTCTCACCCTACAAATTTCACCCCTCAAACAAGCCACAATTTTCTCATTCCAACCGAGTGTGTCATACATATGCTGCACATACGAGTATTCTCTCCAATGGCTGTAAATAACAGTATTCTTCATTTATAATGCACATGATGTAATCTATGACATTTCTGTGCATCACTGATCTTCAACTTGGCATTAAATGTAAGCAATTATCATGGAGTGACAAAAGTTATAACTTAATACGAGAACCAAAAAATATAAAATATAAAAAATTTTAGATTGATAATTTTTGAATTTAATGACAAATGTTACTCAAATTCTATTCCGATTTAACAATTTTGGATCCATAATATCAAATCATATAATTTAAACCTCAAAATATTCGAGATTGTAATCTCAATTATCCAATCTTCATTATATGTAATGGTCAACCCAGTTGACTATTACTTGGAATGTCAAAACAATGTCGTTTTGATATTCTACCGTTAATTATATTTTTTTAAAAAATATTTTTAACCCTCTAATCTTGAACTTTTTTTAATTTTTTATTATTTATAAAATATTATAAATACTTTATAAATTAAATAAAAAAATATTTTTAACCCTCCTAATTTTGATTTTTTTTAAATTTTTTTAATAAAATATTATATAAACAATTTATAAAAAAAATATATTTTTTATAATTTATAAAATTAGGGAGGTCAGCCCATCATGCTCATTTTAATTTATAAATTTTTTTTAAGACCTAAAATTGTGTATTGTTAATTGTGTTTTTTTATAATAACATTTTTATAAACAAAAGTTCAAAATTACGAGGTTAAAAACATTTTTTATATAATTTATAAAATATTATAAATATTTTATAAGAAAAAAAGGTTTAAGATTAGGGAGTTAAAATTTTTTTAAAATATTTTTTTAATTAATTTTAAAATATTTTTTTAATTAATAACATAATAGCAAAACGACATTATTTTAGCATTTTAAGTAATGGTCAATTTAGTTGACCATTATACATAACGAAAATTTGACAATTTATATCACATTTGTCCAATCTTCAATAATTTGAAGGTTCAAATTATACAATTTTATACTATGAATCCAAAATTATCAAATCATAATAAAATGGAGTAAAATTTATTATTAAACCATAATTTATGTACAAAGGTATATGCCTAAAGGAGAAATGAAAATACCAGCTAGCCTTTTGCAAGTTTTGCAACAAGAAGGACCCAACGGTACTAAAAAAGAAAACAGTGGCAAAACGCACCTAATAATGCAGCACAGAACAGTCCAGATACCAGTAAATTCTGCAAAATTAACGAGAGACACCAAGAACCCATGCAAATCAGTGACCAAAATACAATCTCGTAACTTAACTTGACAGCACTACGGCTGAATTATAAACAACCAAACTTGGCCTAGGATTAAATACTAACCGTCAATCCCAAGAACAAAACAACCTTAAACAGTGAAGTTAAGACCCAACAAGAGGTCAAAATGTTTGTCGCTTATGTCTTGAAAGAATTTCACTTCCCAGGCAATACCATGTTTTGTTTGCTCTTTATACTTCTTTTCGTTTCATGTTTTGGATTTTAAACAAACAGAAGTTGGGCTGTAAGAAATGGGCCTCGCCGTTTTCCGAACACGTTTGAGTTGGACAGAATAAATCGGCCCACTTGACTGGAATGATAATTTCTTACCGGATACCAAATCCCGGTATGCTTTCTTTTCACTTTTTCAAGGCGTCGATTGCAAATCCTTGTCTGAAAATACTTTGCATTCCGCCACGAGAAATTTTAAAGTGATTCCAAGCTAATGCTGATATTTAGTACGAATTTATAACCTATTTAAATAATTTTAAAAATTAAGTTATAATACTTAATATAAAAAAGTTATTTGATAATTTAAATAATTTTATATTTAAAATTTAAACTCAATCAAAATTCACTTAATTAGATAAGTTAGAATTTTTAATTTAAAACTTTTTTATTAACATATTCAATTGAAAATTTTTTAAAACTATTTAAATATAACTATATAAGATTCGTATATTCTTATAACCTTAACTATACAAATTGATTGAGAAACAATCTTTATTATCATTATTATCGAAACAGAAGAGAGTTTTCCATTATCGGCGCTTCCATCTATCATCTTCAACAAGTTACTAATTACAAGAAAACCAAGTAAGCTTCTCAATTATACAGGTGGATTTTGTTATGTTGT